AAGCGTGCGATTCAACTTGCTATATAATACTTTTTGTAGCAAGTTGGATCGCACGCTTGAGCTTATTGATGGGGACCATACAACTGTAGCGTGAGACTTTTGCGTCTTGAATTATTATTGTTACGCTCTTAATCTAGACAAAAATTACAGATTGTAGTCAAGATACAGTAAAAAATTTAGCTTCTTTCTAGCCATGATTGACTTAGCTTTTGAAGAGCTTTCGCATGTTTCTGGCGCCCCCCTTGATTCACCGTGATTGGCCGGTGGAAGGCGATCGCTCGCGTCGGCAACACAGTCTGCGTCTCCTGCTAGAGCGCGTCTTCTAATCACTTCCTAGTCTTGATTTGTCCTCGAAACCGCGCCTTCCAGCTCCGGTCACGTCGAATCAATCGGTATATGATGTGTTGTTGTCTCTGCGACACCTACAATTCGAGCATAAATAGTATCTTTTACAATCATGTGTTCTGATCACACATATAGTTATAGTTATAGCAGTATATAGTTTGCGTCTCAGAGGAGTTAATCCTTTTTACTTCATCCTCTTTAAGCCTTTGTTGACATGTACAAGCAGAAGGTGTATTTTTCCTCTTCATTCCTTTGTGTAAAATCTGATAAGTTAAAGATTACCGCCAGTGGCGTGGTAAAGCACATGACAGCAAACACATGCAAATTCGGGGTCTATGGGATAAGCCAGTTATTTGACACATTAAGATAAGGCACGCTTTAATGAAAGATCGAAAGATAAACTCTTTATGTGACTTTACCACTCCAGTGCATAATAGGAGATTAGTGAAGCTGCATCATCTTATCTTTATTTGCGAGTCTTCAAAATGTTTGAGTTTTGCCCATTTATTAGCGTCTCATTTTCAAGCTAGATAATAGATATCGGATGTGTAAGACGGACGATGTTATTCGCCGAAAAGGGTAATGAGAGATCTTCCGTTTTATGTCTGTCTCGATCAGTCCAGTAAGTTCGTGCAAATGCGGAATGTACAGTTTCGGCGGCCGTGCTCAACTGTTGCAGCACTAGTCAATGCTCTCACATAAGCCGGATTGGTAAGACGATTTTTTCCCATAAGCATTGTAACGTAACAAGGACATCGGTTCAAGTATGACCAACTTCCTGTTAGTGGTGTCTTTCAGTTTGCACAATAGCGGACTTAGTGGAATGTTTTGAATCGCGTTGTAATCAGGGGGAGGGAACTTATCTACCCAAAGCGCTTGCCGCAGCGTAGTTATAAGGTCATAAGTCAGCAACTTTAATTAGCACCTAATCAGCACCGTATTTAGAGCCAATGTGTGCATACAACACCCTCGTCTTCACTTGGAAATACATTACACTGAATTTCAATGAAATTTCGAACTTCAACTTCAGTAACGATATCTGTCTATTAGAGTAAAAATTTGCATTTAGGGGTTCTTGAGCACAATGTTTTTGAATATGCTAATTGTTTCGCTCAAAACTTCCAAATTTATTCCTTTTTTGAGAGAAAGAGCTTTTTATGACCTCACCGTAGATTGAAAAATCAGCGCGATGAAATTCTTCGAACAACTTTCCAAATCGAAAAAAATTTGAAAACAGCGTGCTTGAGAACCGCCAATGCAAGTTTACTTTTATCGACTTGTATCGCTAATGAACTTTTCGAAATTCCACGGAAATTCAATTTCATGTGTTCTCGACGAGGACGAGGGTGCTGTATGCACACATTGCTTTTGTATACGGTGCTGATCAGGCGCTAATCAATGTTGCTGACAACTCATGACCTCTATAACTACGCTGCGGCAAGTGCTTTGGGTGGATAAGTTTCGTTCCCTAATCAACACTTTAGCAAAAAAAAAATCATCAGTTGTAGATCTCGGTAGCACGCGGTTGTTGATTAGTGATTAAGTAGAAAAACAGATTTTTCTAAATGGTTTTATCTTCGAGTAGTGCTGCCAGCAAAATTTGTTTTTGCAATCGTATGTCTGATTCCTCTCAAAAATTTGTTTTCTTGGCTACTTTCAGGGTCTTGGCTTGCCCTTACTTCCAAAAGAGCCCTACTAGTCTGTATAGCTTACTTTCGTACCAACAGCTTGAGGTGTGTTGCTTCCACATTGAGCTCAAAATCTCTCTTTAGCTGCACGACAAGCATTACTACAGGCTTGCAACTCGTTTGAAAGCTAACCAAAGCCGTTCACTAAATTTTCACAGAAGACCCTTGAAGTATTTTAGCATGTGATTGTAAACCCTCATAAGCAATGTCCTTTTACTCGAAAATCGACAGCGCGTTACTCCACATCTCCACCCGTTCAATGGAGGCGGTACTTTGAAGCACTATGGGGTCAAACTAGTGAGATTCAAAAGGAGTCATCATCGCGTTTTTCCGTTTTCGTTTGTGTGTTGAATTCAGTGCAAAATTTGAAAATTCCAATTTGTCAAGCAAATTATGGATTAATAAGACATCATGACACAACTAATTATGCTGGTGTTGTTGAGCATTTGCAACCACGTATTGTGGGACAGTGTTAGAATTTGTAGCACTTTCGCAGAATCCCTCACTTTTTGTGTGCGATACTTGTAGCTGTTAGATATATTGTTACTAAAGGAATGCTATCGGTTCTGTCAACACCTGCGTAAGACATGTTGTTAATATACGCGAGTTGTTTCATGATTTCTGAGTGCTGGTGAGAGACATCTTCAGTGTTGGAATGCCTCGCACAATTGCATTCAATTATTTCAGATTAATTTGCTGAAATTCCAAAGGTGCGTGAAGGATTTATTGAAACTTCATGGATTTAGTTTTTGCACATCTTGATTATAGTGCAGATTTTTGTCACGTCGACCTTCTCCTGAAAGATTCGGAATTGTTCGAAGGCAGAAATCATAATGTACACACTACTTGACCATACGTCGTAGGGTGCATGAATAGTGATGAATATAAATTTCTAACTCACCTTTAATAGTGCCACAATGCGGCTCATACTGTCCTCCACGAAGCTCTTGCATGCTCCCTGGAGAAGGATTGGAGCCTTTTCCCCACAGAATTGGGTTGCAATCTGAAAGATGGCTTAGTTAGTACAATAAAATTGTTCGAACAGTATGCTTATGTGATACTACAATCATGGAGCGATAAACGCAAAAACCTTTTGAACATCGTCAACTCCTCCTTCAAGCTTTCCTTTCAAATAGCCGACCAAATCTTGGCACAGGCCACATAGGGGGAGGTCCCAGTACGCGGCATAACCCTCAGCAAGGACAATTACTGCCAAAAACACTAACAGAAGTCTCATTTTCTTCAGTTAGTTCGTCTGAAAAAACGCACTATTTCAAGTAGGTTATAACGTGACGAAAAATGAGCAAAATTGGACTAAGTAGCGATGGTAAACCGCCTTTATATAGAGAGAGCATCTGGTGTTATCACTGATAGGCAGATTAGTTCTGGCTGGTTTTTATGTAATTATGTATGACTGAAGGAAAAACTCAAAACCCATGGGATTTATTTAGTTTGCTCAAAGCTTTGAATGCTGAATGATAAGACAAAGAGCATTATGTTACAAAGTCCATGTACTACGGATTTGCAACTTTGAACGACAATCGTTTTATAATCGAGGAATAAGAGCAGAATTTCAGAGTTAGTTCAGAAGGTATGAATACGTCATTGCTCCATAGGGTGTGGAAGTTACGAGTTAGCACTAGATCAAATGAATGACTTTGTATACAATATACCGACTGAGTCCACTATGTAAGATACGGTAAATTCCGAAAACTTAACACCTTGCCGTACACCCACCTCTCACTCAAGAGCCCCTCGGGTTAAATGTAGTTTTCAATTGGCATGCCACACTTTCTATAGATTCTATGAACCATTCATTACTTGATAGGGTTAAATGTAGTTTTCAATTGGCATGCCACACTTTCTATAGATTCTATGAACCATTCATTACTTGATATGTTTTAAAGCTGGAGTTTTGGAGGCGTCCCTCCAAATCCCTTCAAAACATGCATGACTTGGTTTGTCGGAAAAACTTTTCATTATACACAGAACAAATAATGTTTTTTGTTGATATTTACCTTGGATTTATATAGCTTCCAGATAGTGAGTACAGAAATACTGAAAAAATTGTGAGCCGCCACAAAGGAGCTTATCAAAGCAAGCTCACACTTATTGTATGGGGTTGAGAGAATCCTTTGAAACTCAAACTGTCAAGATTTCGTATTTCGGGCTTGATCCACTATCTGCCTTCGTCCGTAACCAATCCATTCCTGATATAATTTGTAAGCTCGAAATTTTTTTTGCCATAAATTTTTTCCGAACTTTCCACTCCTAGGAGAGTTATAGTTCGGGTATTACCAGCATTAACATCATCCGACAGAAAATTCGTCGTATTGCACGTACTACCGCAGAAACGGAGCACATAGTTCAACCAGCAAGTCACACCATAGAAATGGTGGTTTTTCTGAGTATGTAAAGTTCAGAGGTGTAGGTGAAGAAGGAGGTTTGTTACGTAGAATAACTCACAAGTGTGCGAAATTCTCGTGGATTTCTCAGAATGTCGCGGATTCACGCGAATCACGCAAACTACGCAGCCATATCTTCCTTCAAAATACATATATTCTAAATTCGGAAGCAGCTTTGTGTTCAGATCTCAAGCCAAATGTTTTCGTTGAACTTGTGCTCGATATTCCGTCTCCAGTTTTCTCAAATCTTTATGCGGAGATCATTTCGCAAAGGTGTAAAGCAACGCACATTGGCCCAGTAGATTTCAGCAAGAACCTTTTGATAGAAATTTCTTTGTAGAACATAGAGGGCTAGAAAGTAGCCGTAGATTTCTTTCCAAAAGAAATAGAAGGGCTGGTGAGTTCTGGAAAAATATGTCGTTCTAAATTTTCCTTACGGTTTACTATGAAGCATTCTTGCTAAGCAGATGTGATATTCGTAATCTGCAGGTGGGATAACCTTTATAGTTTTTCGAGATGCTCGGGTTATTTCATTTTTTCTCTCATTTTTTCTCGTTTTACGTTTTGAAGCTCGCGGATGGATTTTGATTAAAATGTTGATAATCTTGGATTTAAAGGAGACTTTATTCCTTCTAAAGATTTTCGAACGCGCTGTTTATAAAACCTGTGGTCTCTATGGGTACAGGGCTTCTTTTTTCAGACATGGTGAGGTGACTTTAAGTGAGACATGAAAGTTGGTAATTTCGCCTGCACTTCTCGCGTATCTTTTAGAAAACTTGACCGCTTGCTTTTACAGGTCAAAGTTACTAGGACTGTGCCTTCGATTGGTATCTTAGGCTTTAGTCCATGGAAATCGCCGAGTTACGAGCTTATGAAAACAAGTCCTCACAATTTTCCTAATTGTAAACACTGCATACTTGTCGAAATTCCACCGTGCTTGGTTGTATAACACGTTGATCATTTGTGCTCACATAGCTCAATGAATCCATGTCGGATTTGAGTTAGATACATCTGACTTCTAACCACAAAACTGCTTTGATATACAGTTGAGCACTGAAGCACACGCAACAACAATTTCCAATACAATGGGATCCCTCGGGCGAAGGGAATATAATATTTGCAATCAAAATGTCATACAATCACTTACGTTGGAGTTTCGATGAAGTGCGCGATATTTACAGTTTGGGCGGAATTTATGATTCGAAGATCGGTATTCACAAGTGCCCAACCCGCTCTGTTTGCCAATCCATGACGTCACCAATGTGCCTCCTCTAGTCGGTGTACTATTTTCCTTATTTTCCCACGCACAGGAGTCACGTTAAACTAAAAGCGTCAGCACGCTTGACACGCTTTCGGGAACTGTGGGTATGTTCGAATGGATGACATGAATCAATGTCTCCTGTGCGACAAAACTGCAATTCCCTTATTCTGTATTTTACTCGAGTATTCTTTCGGACCCCGACATGACAATCGACAATGATATGTGTGGGAGCCTTCCTTTGGAAGACATATAGTTCTCTACTCGCGCAATTGTCATTTTCAAAGATTAAGGGTATAGTGGTCCTCATTCCACTAGTCGGTCGGTGGTCGAATTTGAATTCGGACTGGAGCAGGCCGGCCGCGGCAGTGCGCGGCAGATGCCCCCTAGCCGAACGCTTGCGCATGAGCTTTTTTATCATTTTCTTCGTGTTTCTTTGCTAACTCTCGTATTGCGGCAATGTTCTTAATCAGATTTTGAAGTTTCGCACCTCTAACTATTGTTTCGTGCAGTTGTGCTCTTTGTATTACATTTTCTTCCAGGTAAACACTTTTCACTAAAAAATTGTGACATAATTTAACAAAACACACTTGTGCATATGTCACTTACCGGAAAGAGCTATTTCCCACCCAGAAATCTCCAATCGCATTTTTATTCCAGGTTTACCTGGAGAAATGTAAAACACATGGTCCCCCACAATGGTCGGCCGCCTCATCGTGGCGTGGGGGTGACACTGGGTGTCGAACTGCGATGCACAGCCGAGTGTATACTCTGGCAGGGCCTCCCAAGCTGTGAAGGAGTTCGACGTTTCCGGTTTCGGCCGGATGCCTAGCTAAGAGCCGGCCAGGCCAGATCCGCCGCCGTCTGGTTTTCAGGTCGCTAGGCGGTTCTCCCCGCTCCAAGCCCGGGGTCAGCGATCACCCCGTGGAAATCAAGAGTTGGCCTAGTAAGTCTGCTCTTGTAGGGGAAAAATTTCATTACTCTACCAGTTAGAAGAATAGAAAGAAACCCTGTACATCGGATCCCGCCTACGGCGCCGGGCGGTAGCAGGACTGATGTCAGGGTCCTCAGGGCGCCTTTTGGATTGGACAAAAACGACACGTCTGCCCGGACGACACGCCACGGAGACTGCCTCATGCTCTGCACCTACAACGCCAGGACAGTCTCCACAAACGCCGACCTTCACGTTCTTCTCGACGCTGCAGAGCACATCAAGTACCACATCATCGCTCTGCAGGAAACGAAGTCCAGGAAGAAGGACGTGCGACAGATGAATGATGGAACACTCATCATTCGTGGTGAGAAGGTTCCATCACGAAACGTGGGAGGTGTTGGCTTTGTCGTCCACCCATCTATCGTCCATCTTGTCGATTCGCACGAGATCCTATCACCCCGACTAGCCATCCTACGACTACGCCCTCCACGTCAGAAGACCATCAGCATCATCAACTGCTACTCTCCAACATCAGCAGCTGACGACTCAGAACTAGATGCTTTCTACGAAGACGTGGAGGAGGTCGTCCGCAACGAAAAGTCCTTCTACAAGTATGTTGTGGGCGACTTCAATGCGAAAATCGGGATGCCACTAGAAAAGGAATATAGGATCGGGAAGTTTGGATATGGGCTCCGGAACGAAAACGGCAACCGTCTTGTTGGGCTTCTCTCCGCCGCACGACTTTTCCATGGAAATTCCATCTTCATGAAGAAAGAACATCGCCGGTGGACATGGGAATCGCCCAACGGAACGACTCACGCGGAGATCGACCACATTCTCGCCAACCGAAGGTGGAGCTTGCTCGATGTCTCAGTAGTTCCATCCTTCTGCAGTGGCTCCGATCACCGCCTCCTTCGAGCGAAGATACGACTCAGCCGAAGGCTGGAAAAGAAAGTCTGTCACAGTGCCGCGAGAAGGAAGGAAGTCGTTTACGACGGTAACAGGCTGGAGGAGCTCATATCAAGATGTGACTGGCCCATCGAGGAGGACCCAACGAATGACTACGACCGGCTTCTGAAAGGATTGCGAGCCTGCGGAGAATGTGCCTCAGTGACTTCTGAGAAGAACTTGGAACGTATATCGAAGACCACCAAGGAATTGCTCGAAAGAAGAAGATTTCTGAGGCAGGATCCGAATGCAACCCATCTCGAGCGACTGATAGCCAACGCCAGTTGCAGAACAGCTTTGCAGGAGGATCTCAGGAAGTACAGGCAAGCCAAGATACTGGAAGCAGCCGAAGAAAGACGAAGTCTTAAGAAATGCCGAAGGGACCTCTGTGAATATCACGTGCCGCTGGCTGCACTATTGAACGAAGACGGGACTCCGACTTCTTCCCGATACAAGATGGAATCTATCGCGAAGAACTTCTATACCAACCTCTTCCGCTCATCAACACCCGTGCCGATGCCCGTTGTTCCCACTGGAGAAGTACCACCACGAATTCTACCTGCTGAAGTGCGTACGGCGATCCAGACCATGAAGACATCCACGGCTCCAGGACCAGACCATCTTTCCGTCGAATTTCTGCGAGCCGGAGGACAACGTCTACACGAGATTCTCGCGTCGCACCTGACATCTTACCTTCAGAAGGAGAGGATTCCCGACCAGTGGAGAACGTCAAGAACCGTCCTTCTTTTTAAGAAGGGTGAACGGGAAGATCTTCGAAATTACCGTCCAATATGCCTGCTGAGTGTGCTG